TTTTTTTTTATTTTTTTTTCCTGGTGACCTAATCTATGGGTCACCAATAAAGATGGTCTAATAATCCGCCCACATCTCTTGAACCTTTATATAATGTGATATTTTTATATATCCTTCCAAACACTATGAAATAGTAGGAATTAAATAAAATAACTCACTCCAGCCTATTTTTTTTATTATTTTCTATTTTATTAGAAACAATAATTAATAATTAGAAACTCCATCTTTAATCTTTGTGTGCTTTAATGCCTCAACTACATGACTTGTCCATTTCGGTCTCCTGCTGGTTCGTCCCCACAACCGTGGTCGACGCGGTGATTGTGTGAGACGTTTGGTAGGTGAGTTGTTGGGTTGCTCCTGCCTCGAAGGCGTTGGCTATCATCCTCTCCAGCTCTTCCCTCAACATCATAACCAGTTGTCCTCGATCAACCTCGCTCCAAGTTAGTCTTATCGTCTGGACCATCGCCCGTCCTGGTTGCGCATGGCCCAGATATGCGACCTTCGTGGTTTCATGGTGCAGACTAGTGTTCATGTCATAGGATCTATGAGGATCTCATTATGTACAAGTTACGAATTCAACAGCAAACGTAAACCTATGCGCAGCGGATCTAAAGTTTTAACGTATAAAACTTACGGCTTAAAACTTTCTGAATCTGGTGGTTTCGGATTGACCGGGATGAGCACACGAACACGTCGGGATCACGAACGGAAGGCGGGAGCTACCGGGTCGTGTCGGACCGGTCGGGTCATGTCGCCGAGGGCCGTGTTGTGAGTGGTGGCGCGTCGCGGCTAGTTGCAGCTGTCCGGGAGGCGCGTCACGGCTGCTGGCTTCACCTGTTGGGTCACGGTGGTGCTCCGGCAGGGCTGGCGGGTCGCGACTTTAGGTCGTGACTCGATAAGGCTAATGCTCGACTCGACTCGGCTCGTTTGCAGCCCTAGGCTGGACTGAATAGAAAAGTGCCAACAACTTACTTTGAGTGATAAGTTAATAAATTTTTATCACATTTTTCGTTATTATATTACGTATATCATTAGTCGTATTATATAGTAGTAGGTTTAATTTAAAATAAAATGAATGAAATTGGTTTAATGTAAAAGTAGAAGAAATGCTATGAAATAATATGTAGTTAAAAATGTATGAGAAGATGAATAATGAAGAAGAATTGTTGTGATATGTGACATGATTTATATTATTTAATTATAATGATAATATATATATGAGTCAAATTGAATTAATTTTAATTGAATACTGTAGAAAATTATTCGGACAGTCAAAACTGATTAGAAAATTATTCAGTCAATCAAAATTGATTTCTATTTGTAATCAATCACGCCCTATATGCCTCTGACAACTCGAACATTAGATATGCATTATCAATAGATGTTTCCTAAGAAACAAAAAAAAAAAAAAAAA